GCCCTGGCGCCGACCCCAGCGCCACGAGACGTCAAAAGCACCTAAGAATTTAATTTCACCCCGTCGCTTCTCTAGGTTAGGTGCGTGTCTTCACCGAAGGTCGGAATCGGCTCAGGCGAGGACAGGGCAGCCCTTGAAGGACCCCGGGCCTGGCTGATGCAACCGGCACTTGTGAGGAAAGGCGTGACTGTGTTAGACCTGGGGAGAGGAAGTAGGCGGTGCCTGTTGTGACTGAATCGGAAGTGTTGCGAGCAGAGGCAATGCCGATTGGACAAGCTGTCTGTCGAAGGATCAAAGGCAGACGCGGTTCGGCTGTTAACAAGCAACTGTCCACTCTGATGATATTAAACGTGCGCGTAAGGAACGCTGCTTAATATTGTTGAGGTGCTGAGATAGCCCTTTAAGATTGTATAAATATGCCAGTTGTACTGAAGGTTACCACGTCTAGTCTGCCTGGACCTTTGGCCTTCATAGTTGGTGAGTTCAATTAGAACATCTGCTGGTCAAAGTAATTAATATGTTTCATTAGAGGACGAAGAGCCGTTCAGAGCCATCCCTGTCAAATTCCTGCATGATATAGTCAATACTGTATCAGATATGCTGAATTCCAGTATGTTTCTGAGCTCATTTTGAAGTACTGGTGCTGTCTTTTGAAACTTGTTTCACAGCAGGCCTCTTCCTCTAGTATCGTGCATGCTAACTTTGGCTATCGAATCAGGAGTCCCTTTGCATAACTCCTCCAAATGAAGTAAGAATAGTTATGGCCAAAACCAGGGACTTTATATCTGTTGCCTCCTGTTTGTGAAACAATTCTCCATAAAAGTGCAGAGCATTTCCTCCTCAATAACGTTTAGGACAGTCTGCAAGGTACAGCTTTGAGCTGTTAGTACAGTCTTCCCAAATCTGGTGCCCTCTGGATATTTGGACTTCAACTCCCATCAGCCCAGCCAGCAAGGCCACTTGTCAGAGAAGGCATGGAGTTGTAGTGCAAAACATCCAGCAAGTATCAGTTTGGGGTTGACTGCTCTAATCTTCCTGCCTGTTGTTGTTGCTTTTTTCTGAATATTTTATTTCCTTTGATTTGTGCAATATTTTAATACGTTTTAACAAGTAATGGAAACTGTTTTGAGTTTGAAGAGAAATGTATTAAATTAAAAAGCATTGTGCTAGCAATGTTGGTTTACTATTTATACAGTTCAGTCTGGACTGTTTTTATGCAAGAGAATAACTAGACATAATTCAGACATGGACTGAACAATCTTGCACCCCAGTTATGCTGGGAAGAATGTTAATGTTCCTGTGATGTCTGCACAATTTCCAGTCCTACAACACAAGGGGAAGAAGACAGTTGTCCACTCAGTGCTCAAGGCAACACCACCAGGACCTGTTAAGCATGGACTGTTGTGATGATGACACTCCCATGCCAGTCAAACACAAAAAGAGTCATTGTACCGACACATTCCAAGGGCAGATTTCTGACACTCACATAGCTATGGCCCAGCTAAGCACTCTCTGTTCTATGAGCTCCTGTGTCATAGGAGCTGACCCCCACTGTTTGCAAGTACTGTTTCGACTACAGTGTACAAAGGGAAGAAAGGTGCTACACACCACAGCACCCAAATAGCTAACCTGACCCCCAATCCTCCTGGGACAAGGGTTCTGGACTTACTGAAAGAGAAAAAGAGCAGCTCAGATTTGATAAGAGTGGTTCCAAGCTCAAATCCACCAAAAAGAAGAAAAAGCCAAGGTTTGGAATAAATCTGTAGGGTTTGGAATAAATCTGCCCCTCCATTGTGATGTATATGCTCTATGAATACCTGGTGCTCCATTTTGGTTACTCTGCTCATGGAGCTTTGCTAACAAAACATATATACCCATGTAGTGGGTATCTAGCAGACTGTCTTCCCTGTTATATATCCAGCTGTCATGTAAGAACCAGTGTGGTGTAGTGGTTAAGAGCTGGGACTAGGACTCAGGCAACCTGGGTTCTAGTCCCCCCCTTGACCATTGAACCAACTGGGTGACTTTGGGTTATTCACAGGTTCATAGCCCAACCTACCTCACAGGGTTGTTGTGGGGATAAGATTGAGAACAGGAGAATTATATAAGCTGCTTTGAGTTTGTAAGAAAAAAGTGGGGTAAATAAATGAAACAATAGTTGTAGGAAGTCTTGTGGGTCATTTAAAAATGAATGGAATGCTGCTGCATAATAAGTTAGTGGCAGGCCTTCTCTGTAGCTGCACTCACCTTTTGTAAAACCCTCCCCTGTGCAGTTGGGAAGAAGAAAATGTGACATGTACTTGTATACCCAGGCTTTCCCTGGCTTATAATTAAATTAATCATATTGTTATATTTTTTTCTGCTCATATCTTGATCTGTATTCTTGTAACTGGAATTTTTAATATTGCATTTAATTGTATGTTAAATGTATGTGAACTGCTTAGGGATTTTATTATATTTATATTTGATATATTTATATCAAAAATAAAATTGTGTTGTACTGCTGTATTTGACCAATTTTACCAGTTTATCTTCCATGTCAGTGGCTTATTTTGTATTTTGTAGCACAATGGGGTTATGCCTCAGCATATCTCAAGATCTTTCTATCCTAAGACTGCAATCCTGTACATATTTGCTTGGGAGCATTTCAGTCACCTCACCATTAACTAAAAGCTTGAACATTTTCATACCTAAAGAGTTTCAAAGGTAGCTCCAGAGTGAAATAGATGAGTTGGAACTGATTTAGATTTTTTATTGCCTCTTTTTAGCAGTTTTCTGGCAGTATTTATTTTGATTTGCCAATTCATGATCAGTCGGGTGTAGCATATATACTATGACTGAATGATTTAGTTTTACTATTTTTGCTCTGCATAATCTAAAAAAATTCAACCTCATTACAACTCTCTTTCATGGCATGTAGCGCTATCCACTGACATTACCACTTTATGCATCTCAGTAAATGACCTCAAACTGTGCAACATCTCAACAATTTATTAGTAGTTAACAGTGCAACTGTATGGTTATTTTTCTGCATAGCATAGGATAGGCTGTGGTCCCAGCTTTAACCTGAGAAATGTATTCCAAAATCAGAGGTAGATTTCCAATGGTGGAGTGCCATCCCTCTGCCCTGCACCACTGTAACTCCAAAGTTGCAAATGTGACTTCAGAGCAGGCACAGGGGGCATTCTGGAGATAGGGAAGAAGTAGTGAGGCTTCCTGGCAATGCCTCAGCCCATTCTCCTTTCAAGCACAGGAAAAAGACATCAACTGTTTCTGTCTTCTTCAACACAGTCTTGATTGGATGCTCATTATCTTCTGAACTTGGAGAGTAATGTGCAAGCACATTGGTTTCCTAAGTAGCCATAATGCTCCTTGTGTTTACTGCAACAGCCTAATACAAATATTCACTGTTTAGAGCTTAATCAAATCATCCTATGAATGTTTGTTCAAAAATAAGGCTCAATTATATTTAGGGTGCAACCCTAGGCATGTTTAGATAGGAAAAAAGGGTCTCCCACTGGTTGAGTTACAAGCCTTTTTTTCTGTCAGACATGCATAGTATTACATCTTTAGTGGTCTGTTCTCCCAGGTACATTCCATATCATTGGATCTAGGTTCTAGTCCCCACACAAAGCCACGACGCTCAGTAGATGTCTTTGGGTCAGTCCCTAACTGTCTGCTTAGCCTAGCTCACTGGGTTGTTCTGAGGATAAAAGGAAGAGGTGATCTATGTAAACATTCTCAAATACATTGCAAGCAGGAAAAGGGTAGGGTATAAATGTAATCATAAAAATACAATAATAAACAAATATGAGATTATAATTCCAGAACAGACATCACTAACAAAGACTGATAAATTGGAGTATATTTTGTGTACTCATGAAAGTTTGTTTTAAACAAGTCACAGTCTCCTCCAGTCATTACATGAGGGAAGAATATAGTCATCATTTGTGCAATATTTATGGTTTACTGCATGAAGAATTAAATGATCTAGACATTTTAAGATGCATAGAACAGGTGTGTCTCTGCAAGCTGCTTGGATGCAAGATTGCCTAGGAATCATATGCAAGTTTCTTTGCACTCTTACAAGGAACAGTAGGATATAAACATAATAAATGTGCCATGTTATTGCAGCAGTGTATTTTAATTACGTTGGATTTACTTGGTATGCCTCAGGCACAAATTAGCCATCAACTTTATTGGGTGACCTATGCCATTCTTTATTTCAAGTCTATCCTACCCCACAGGATTGTTATGCTGGTAAAATCGGGATAACATGCCCTCCAGAACTCCTTGGAGGAAGAGCTAAATTTATGTGCAGTCAAGAAATATGCATACATCTCCAACATCTTCAGCACCCTTACAAACTACAATTCCCAGGATTCTTTGGAGAGGAAACTATGGCCGTTGAACTGGCATATAACTGATTTACGTTTCTACTGTAAATATTTCAAAAAAGCAAGTATTGGGCAGAGCTGCAAATGCACTTCCCGAAATATATGCACATTCAATGAAGCTAGACGAAGAGGCGGCTTGTTTGGTTTACTGCATGAACTAGAGCGAACGGGAACGAATGAAAGCAAGGCGAGGCAGGTTTTACAGCCTTGAAGGCAGGAAAAAGAAATGAGCCCGCCGAGGCAGATTTGGTGAGGGGAGACGGCGTGTGGGAGGCTGACGCGATTCCGCCGGGGCAAGCCGTGAATGGGAGCCGCGCTGTGAATGGGAGCCGAGGCGGGAGGGCGTTGCGTTGTGTGCGGGGCGGGCGGCTTTTATGAGGCAGCGGCGGCGAGCGGCCAATGGAGCGGCCCCCGGGAGGGCGGCGGCAGCCTCAGCAAGAGCGGCAACTCCGTATTCACAGAGGTTCCTCTCCTCCCCCAGGCGCGTTCCTTCGCTTTTCCTACAGGTGGCGGCGGCGGAAGTGACGGTCAGTGTGGGGTGCTTGGCTTTGGGGGAAGATGGCGACTGTGGCAGTGCTAGGCGGTGAGGAAGGTAAACAACTGTGAGGAGGAAGGGAGAGGCAGGGACTCTGGGAGGGGGGCGAAGTAGGGGCCGGCGAAAGCCGGTGCCCGGGCAGTGCCGCCGAAAGAGGCCTCCCAGACGCAGGCGTACACAGGAGGCGAGGCGGGAGCTCAGGCGCGGCACCTCAGTCACCACATCCCCCACTTCGGTCCCACTGTGAGACTCTCCTCCTCTGTCTTTATGTTACCTAGAGAGCCCCCTCTCCGCAGGTTCAGCGGGAAGAACTGTGTCTTCAGTGCTGCTGAAAGGTAGGTGAAGCTGGTCGAGGGCCGTCCTTATCCCTTGTCTTTCTTCCCCTCCCTTTTTTATCTCTCTGTCTTTGCCACTTTTCCAGTCCTACATGGGATATGCTCCTTTCTCCATTTTCTTTCATACATTCTCCTCCATCATGTTTGGGCCAAAAGGGAGGCATCAACAGAAGTACTCTATAGCTCCCAGTTTTGAAGGTGCAATTATGTTAGCTTAGGAAGAGGGCAGCATCTTGGGTGAGACTTCCAGGAGACTGAAGGTGCTGTGGCTAGATAGAGTTGAAAATGCCATAATAGATCCTAACATCACAAGTTAAGGATTTTTTTAGCTATTCCTGTTATGAATCAGGAAGTTGTGTAATACTGCTTGGAGTCAGTAATAAATTGTGTCCTCTTAAATGTTTTAGTATTTCTAAAGAGAGTGGTATGGTGAAGCTGTGTCTCCTTGTTTCTGGTTTCTCAGAAAAATCAACTATGATGAACATGGGGAAGAAGATTGGCGTTTGTCCTGGCCTTGTGTGTGAGCATACTAGCGATGGTTCCAGGAACACAGCAGTCTGAAGTCTTCAGTATTTAAAATGCACATGGTAGGGACAATAGTATTTCACCAAATGTAGAGTTGTATCTCCATGTAGCCATTCATAAGTCCTATTCATTTCAATGGATCTGCTGCAGTAGGACTAACATAGGATACAACATTTGCTTTAAATTCATCCCTATCCATGTTTTGGTCCTAATTTGCATGAGGTACTCTGGTGTAACTTCTTTCTGTTTCCCCTTTTGTGGAGGATAATATTATAAAATGTCTGAAAGTTTCTTTTAAGTCAGGATTATGCTAAAAGAATTACTGGGCATTTATTATTGGTGGGCTTATGTCTACTACCAGGTGAATTGGAATGACTGATGTACTTCCAGTTGTTCCTTTGCTGTGATACCATGACCCACTGAAGACCTGATATGCAGATGTCTGTAAGACTGGCAGCTACCTAACATGATCATTGGTATTATTACTGCCTTGGACTCCTTCAGGGAAATGGTGGGATGTAAATGTTATAAACAAATACTTTTATTAATTAAAATTAGACCTGTTACATGATTAAATGCATCTTTAAACAATCATTTTGAAGGGAGAAAATTGTTTTGAGTTTATGTATGTTTAGACCATCTGAGAAGATGCATTCTCTTGTGTGAGAGAAGGATTCTTTTCTGATGCGACACTTGCCATTTACCACTCTTCTAATTATTTATAGTAAAAAGGGGGGGGGCGGGATTGGTGAATTAATCAGGACTACCTTCTTGGTCAATAAAAATATCTAAGTTATTAATCTTATTAATTAAATGGTGCATAGCATAAATGTAGCAAACTGCCCAGAGTTAATATAAGATAACCATTTATTTATTCAATTTGACTTGTAAGATAAATATTACAACTTTTTGTATAGAATCTGTTTGAAATATAATAATTTTATCTTAATTAAACTGTAAGCTTCAGTTGCTGAAGGCTAGATAGATATTTAAGATGCATCACACTAGACCAAATCTAACACTGTTTACTATACAGTATCTCTGGCTATATTGCACTTTGACAGAAATACTAAATGGATTACCAATGCTTGACAAAGAAAGCGCTTGAAGTCTGATCTTCATTGACATTCTACTTAAATATTGTAGAGGCTAACTTGCTCTAATAAATGTTCCTGCCCTTAATCTAAATATTCAATTATCAAAGCTATTATAACAAAAATGTTTTATATACAGATTGCTCATTGTATAATAGAAGCATGAAATTCCGGCTCAAGTGCAAAGTTTTTCAGACTAAATGAAATAACCTATAGGACCAATCTGAATCAGGTGCTTTTTTCAGATACGGTCCTTTCCCAAAATTGCCGCTTTGAATAATTTTGTTGTAGAAACTGCTAAAAACAGAAGCAAGAAATACAATGATCAGTCCTAATATCTAATATCAGCCTGACTAAGACTGTAGAGTAACAGGCATGTATTCTTGTTTTTTTCATGAATTCTTCAGCCTATGGTTTCATCAATGACATTGATATACATATTGCAATTCATTTTCTGAAATAGGAACAGTTTTAGAAGATTACAATAAATCTGAAAGTGTAGAGGAATAATCTATTATAGTTTCCCCTACCATATTGATTTTAACTCCATAGTGATAGGAATAGAAGTATCTGTATACACCATTGTTTGCACCTATGAATAGCCTGGTATATGGTATGCTGTTGTAAACCTGCTGCCATCAGTAGAATGTGTTTACAATCTGTGCTACAAAACCAGCAATTTCTTCTGTTCATTTAATCTTATGTTTGCACATTGGTATAATGCAGCAGTAGTGTTGCCCTTGACTGTATGAAAGAATGGCAATATTTTGTTCTTCTACCACTAGTTGCTAAAAAGATATCTGGAAACAAATGTCAAGTGGCAGAAAACAATAGGGTGCTTATGCCGACATCAATTCACTCCTGTCCCACCTATTCACTTACTCAAGCAGTGGGTCCTGCTGATTCTATTGTACAAGCAGAATTCATTCCTTATATGTGGGAGCTTTAGAGCTTCCTAGAGGAAGCCACCAAATAAGCAGAAATGTTCATTTCTTGAAGGAGGCAGGTTGGTAGAGCTCCTATACACAAGTAGTTCCACTTGTTTTGGGTTGCACTAGAAGTCTTGTCCCACAGGTGTGTATGTGTGGGGAAGGGCATTTTTATAATGGACATGGTAGGATGTAAGACAGTTAGTCAGGGTGCAAGTGCTCTGTTGGGATTCTGCCCTATGACTAGAAAAACAGAATCAACAGTCCTGATTAGAATTCTTGAACAGCTAATAGTGCTATCTTTTATGGTGCATTACTCATTCTTTCAAAGACCTGAAAAAATAACAAAAAATCCATTTTAAATAGTAGTAAGGGAACCAAGATACCACTGGACCAAAATTGGCTTCATTCACACACATAGTCCATATAGAGCATTATTATGGAGACCTTCATGTCAAAATCACTACTTTTCTGGGATTTTTGAAAGGGATATATACACCATTTTCAGGTCCAGGGTATAGGCAGCAAGTATCATTGGCCAGAGCACAAGAACCAGGGGTGATGGAAGCAGATGGAAGTATCAGCATGATGCAGAGGTAAAATCAGGAACAAGCAAGGGCAGGCGCAAAGGCAAAAGCAATAAAAAGCAAGGCCAGATACTGACAAAGCTTGTCAAAATGACTATTACAGAAGTGAAGGCAGAGTCAGGAACAGGCAAGGCATAGCAGAACCAAAGTCAAAGGCAGGAGCAGACAAGGATCAGATACCCAGCAAGGCATAGTAGGAACAGGGACAAAGACAAGGATTAGATACCTGACAAGGTGGGGTCAGATCAGAGGTAAGGGCAGCACTGGGATCAGTCAGGGATCAGGGCACAGAAAACAAGGCAGAGCTGGACCACAGTACAGTACAGCCACCACAAAGGCCCTTATCGCTTCAACCTTCTGAAGCTCCAAACTGTGCCACTTATTTCACAGGCTCCAGTTCTTGCAAGTACCTGCAGGACTGATCCTGCAGGCACTTGCAGGACGAACCCATGCCACTGTTCACCATCATGTCACCAGAAGAAGCTGCATCAACGCTTCAGATCCTGACCCTAGTTTTAAAAGGAAGCCTGAATTTTGACAGCTAGCTGACAAAACTCTGTTGAAGTAGGTGAGGTGGCTCACAGGTTTTCATTTTCCTGAGCACCCAGAGTGTTGGAAAAGAATGGAAAAGGTTAAGAACACCAAGAAGAGACAGGTCCAAGCTTTAAAATTAGATGATTTCACAAGGGGAAGGGATTGATGTAGAGGGCACCTGCTTTTACCAGCATAGATGTTTTAACAGCCTTATTTCCGGTCGGCAGCTTGCCGTTTGGCAACAGGCAGGAGAAGGCAAAGCAACAAATTACCTTTTTTGTTCCCTTTTCATTAATGTTCCTGGATGGTGTCTCCTGCACTTTGATATGAGATGCTTCTCAGGAGATAAGAGGCAAGAGTTTCATTTCACTCATCCACACGTGTTACAAGCAACAGCAGTCTCAGTGGGGGAGAACTGTGTTGAGTGCAAAAGGGCTCACAGTTGGCAATGGGAGGACTGAGCCAGAGATGGTCACTCTGAAGTGGCACTAGGGTGTTTGGTGGATCAGCTGTCACTGGTGGTGGTCCAGCAAGAGTTTTTTTTTTTTTTTGCCATACCTGCCAAGCAGCTCATCACCATTTCCCTTGGCTCATGTTGGGATTGGTTGTCCCGGTTTAGGTGACAGAAAAATTCATCTGTGTCCAGAAACCCCTATTTTAAGCCATGGGCTTGCAGGATGGCTTGTTGCCCACAAACAGGCCATCTTGTGCGAAGTAGTCCTGGTTCACATGACAGATAACCCACTATGGCTATTTACTCACCGTGGGTTATTGTATTTTGCAAAGCCAGTCCATGTGTGCCTTTCAGATTCTGCTTATATTACAAAATAGTCATGTTAAGAAAGTTAACAGTTCTCTTTTTCTTAATTCTCAAGAAGGGGTACTAGTTGGTTGGTAGTTGCACTAAAGCAATACTTCTAATATGTGCATCTGTATCTTTATTCTGTTTCATAATTTGCATTTACTTTTAAAGTCTGCACCAGTCTGTGTTGTAAGGAAAGTAACTAAGTTATTTGCCAAGTCATAATCATCAATAACATTTGTATTGATAGTGGAGTAAGTGTCAGTCTGTTTCTGCAAAAACAAATGCTTCATCACAGACTTCAAACTGATAAAACAGATGGCACTCATATGTGAAAAAATCTTTGCGGTCTCTTGATTGTAACTGGTGACCCTTCACCAGTTATATGAAGAAGTTATCTAAATTTTACTCTTTATAACAGATAGCAGGAAACAGTTGTTTTTCAAAATATTTAAAACTGTTCTTATTGCATACATTTTTGTTGTCTTTACATCATCATCATCCTGGATTATGATAATATCAACTTCAAGAATTATCTGCCTTTTACTGTCTCCTGAAAAAAGGCCTACATCTAGAGAAGAAATAATGATTGCCTTTATCCCACTATGGAAATAGGCCATTTGAATATATTCTGATCATTATAGTGGGGTATTCAAAAACACTGGGAAATCAACCAAAAACCAATATTAGGGAGAGTACATGTAGGTTAAGGGTTTATGAAATACATTTACATATTCTTTATTTCTTTTTTATGAGATGGCTGTACACATCGTCAAAAAGCCAGTGTAGCAACAATTTTTGATGATCCTTTTATTTCACCAGGGCTGAAATCTAACTTTCTAATTTAAAAATTACAGCAACATACTTTAAACCAGAATGCTAATTGTGGCATGCTCCACCCCCAGTTATTTTGTAGCATTGCCTTCCTGTTGGCTTGATGTGTGTTTTGTATGTGCATTTCACTGGAACACAGAAAGCAGCAGCTATCAGTGGCTGGACTTGTAGCATCATGCCAAACCATAGTTTAGTCCAGGCGTGGGAAACCTCATTTGGCTTGAGGAATGAACTTAATTTCAGTGAGGTTCTTGAGAGCTACATTCCACTGGTGGGTGAGGCTTGAAGGCAAGAAGTCTGGGGCCAAAAATGCAGAAGGATTTTTTTAAAGTGCCAGCTTATTTTAATTTAAAGCTCTTGTACCTAATAACTAAACTTTTGAAGAGGCATTGCAGTCTTTTAAAATGAGGGAAAATTGAGAAAAACTGGGAAACTACTGAATGATTGGTGGTTGCATGGAATGGACATGATGGCCTTCTGAAGAACCCCAGAGGGCCAGATTTGGGTCTGAAGTTGCTCATCACTGTTTCATTGCTACAGACACAAGTCTAGGTGAGCTTTTGTTTCATGTTTTCCATCCTCCCCTGCATTGTGCTTCTGCTTTCAAATACTAGGGTGTTATCATGGCTGAAAATTTAATGGTTAATTTTAACTATGGCTTGCAATCCTAGGTTGTTTGGTTAATCCAAAGTTAAAACTAGCCAGTTTTTTGTTCAGACATAGCAGCAAACTTCAGTTAGATGAAAACAGAAGCAAATGCTTCTGATCTCTTCATGGCTATGCTAGAAGGGAGCATGTGTGTGAATTTAAGTTGAGGTACGAGTTCTGTCCCAGAGATTGTCCTTAAGTTGAATTTGTATGCAAGTGGGATCCCATACATAAAAAAATAAAACACCTGAGAAACACTAAGACATCTCAAACACAATACAGCATTATAATCATGATAATAATACAGTAATAATAAAGTAATTACAGGTACTGGAGAGAGAGAGAATCCGTTTGTTGAATGACTAATGCCTAATACTTTCCAATGACTGATGGCATCTCACCTGTCTCTGATCTCTGTAGTTTAGATTGTGGTTTTTTTTCTTCAATGCATCACCTACACTTGCATCGGATTTATGCTTTGGAGGCATAGTTACAAACCAAGTACAGTGGACAGTTACAGAAGGCAACACTAACTTCACATGATCCAAAACACACTGGCTAGGATATTGTAGTTCCACCACCACCGGCTAGTTTCGACTTTGCCTCTTTTCCTCTCCTCCTGCCCTTCCTTCTTTCCTGTTATTCCCTTCCTTCCTTTCCTTGGTGCTTGTAGGTGCTCACTTTCTGCCTGCCACTTGTGGATGCCTGCTTGTCACTTGAGGATGAGGCAGGACTCCTGGGTTTGCTTGTTCATAAGTAGGGGTTGTTCTTGGGCATTTGTAACCAGGGGACTGGGTGTATATTGTTCAGTATTATATCCAAATGAGGCCAATGTATGAGCATGTCTTACTTTAGTTATGAGAGAAAAGTGCAAGTAGGAATGATCTATGTCAGATTTATCCCCCCCCCCCTTTTTTTTAGTAAAACATTCATCCAGCAACCAATTGCCTTGGAGTTTGTAAATTGTCATTCCTTTGTAAAGTGACCAAATGCAGACATGGCCTAATTCACATGTAAGAATAACCCAGAGTATGGGTTATCATTGACTTGTGGTGTGGTTGTTATGTTTGAAACCTGAACTGTGGTTTAATCATGGGTTGTTAATTATGGAGAATCCAAGTATAGAACCCATTGTTTGTTGTTGGATCTTTTGGGGTTATGTGAGGGTTACTTAACTATAACCCATGTTTACCAGTTTTATACAACACAGCAATCCCTGAGCATAGATTGAATATGGAAAATAGTGGCAGCACATGCCATAGTCTCACTGCTTCACTGTGGGTTGATGAGTTATGGTGGGCTGTCATGTCAGGCTAACTGGCCCTTTATATATCTCAAACATTGAATTGTCTTTGCCATTTGGATTCTCTGTCTTAGAATTTTTGAATGATCTACATCAGAGTAAAAGTGACAAATGGAAAGTATAATGAAATACTAATTGATATCTCACACATCCATGGGTTGTATATAGTGACTTTATAAATCAGCTGAGAGGTCCTCTTCCAAATTAGACTAAATTCAGATTTGTCTTGTACTTTATTTTGATCAGCATGATGTGACAGACTTCATATTTGATTCAAGTGTCATGCTTAGGCAGATAGTGTGTACTGAATAGAAGTTCTTATAAAGGTAATAAGAATTGCCTACTATTAGAAGAAAACTGAGGAAAACTATGTTTTCTTATGCATTGAGAAAGTTATAGGTGTAGGTGGCATAACAGTGGGTTTATTGTAGCATTTGAGACTCTTCTGATTGGGCAAGATTGTTAAGTCATCTTGACTGAAATAGCAAAAGTATAATTGGTTGCTTTTGCTACATATAAGTACAGGGTGCGGCAGAAATACCTCCCACATTTTAACGGTTAAAAAAAGGAAAAAGAAACTACATTTATTAAAAATTAATTTCACTTTTGTTTAAACAAAGGGTTACAGTTTTTATTCATTTGGTTTTAAAAATTACATCCTCCAAGTGGTGACCTCTTTTCACTATACACTGTTGTAGACGATTTCTGAAGTTTTCCATCACTCTAAGAGTCATTCCAGGCGGTATTTCTGCAATCTTTTGCTGAATAGCATCCTTTAATTCTTCAATGGTACCCGGTCGATGTTTGTAGACCTCTGCTTTCAAGTAATCCCAGAGAAAAAAAATCACAGGGGTTGAGATCGGGCGAGCGTGCAGGCCATTCAATGTCACTGCATAAGGAAATCAAATGTCCTAGAAACATTTCCCTCAGAGCTTCCATTGATCTTCTTGCTGTGTGCGCGGTGGTTCCATCTTGCTGAAACCACACATCCTGATTGCGAAGGTCATTTACTTTTGGTTCCAGAAATGTCTGCAGCATCTCTACATACCGGTCAGATGTTACTGTAACCGAGTGGTTTCTCTCCTCAAAAAAATAGGGTTCCCATATACCTGAGTTCGAAACTGCGCACCATACCATCACTCATTCACTGTGTAGAGGTCTTTCATGAAGCTGTCTAGGGTTATTTTCCACCCAATAACGAAAATTTTGTTTATTCACACAGCCTGAGAGATGAAAGTGAGCTTCATCACTTGTAAGAAGAACAGCATTTGCAGGAACATTTTGAAGGATATCGTCACAGCATGACAAGCGAACTTCCCAGTCGTGTTCGTGCAGTTTCTGAGCAATCATTAATTTGTATGGATGGAACTTCAGAACAGTGTGTAGAATTCTTCTGACTGCTCGATCATACAATCCCAAGGCAGAAGCATGTTTACGAGTTGAACGTGTAGGAGACTGAGTAACAGAAAGTCTCACAGCTTGAACACTTTCTGGAGTTCGAGCGCTTCGAGGTCTTCCAGGTGGCTTTTTTTTAAGTGCTGAACCTGTGGCTCTGAAATTTGCAACCCATAGCAGTATTGTTTTTCTGTCCAGAACAGCATTTCGACCTAACATGTAATGAGTTCGAAAAGTTCTCTGTGTTGCAATTACAGATTCACCATTCTTCAAAAACGTTTCTACAGCAAAAGCACACTGTGCACCAGTCCAAACCATATTGCTAGATGTGGGTATATGAAAAAAAAAGGGAAGTCATTAGCTAAATAAAGACATCATTGGCACTTGCATAAGTTCATTAGCAACACATAGGTGAAAGTTTAAAATGTGGAAGGTATTTCTGCCGTACCCTGTAGATTACAATGATGGTCAAGAATATTGAAGATACACAGTTAACAAAAGTTCAGCATTTTTAAACTCAAGAACAACTTTGCATGGAAGTCATGCTTTGCAGAATGATGATACAAAGATGTAGTCTTTCTCTTAAGCTCTTACATAAATATTAAGTGGTGTTGAGCTTTTGCTGTGCTCTGCCCTATCAGTGAGGGTGTTCAAGACTGGACAATCACATGTTGGGGATTACATGAGCAGAGCCAGCTGGAGCCAGGAGTCAGACTAGATGGTCTGGGAGGCCGCTTCTGACTTGCTTTGTTTCTATGTTTCTGTATCTACTATGAAGGGAAGAAACAATCTGTAGAAGTTTTTTTCGTTTGTTTTCTTTATTATTTTAGTTATAATTTTCTGAATTGAATTCAGTGAAGAGTTCACCTATGGTCAAAGAATGTTCTTCTGTGTGGTTCTTGCCTTTCAGGGTTGGGAATCTTAGAAGCATTTAGAGAGTATGTCAATATTATTTTAAAACACTGTGAATTTGACCTTGCTAACTTGAATGTTCATAAGCAAGTTTGACTCACAAGCAATTTGAGTGAATACAGCCCAAATCTATGAAAATGATTTTTTGGCAGAGTTTTTGGCAGAGTTCATTGTAAGGCTGCTTCAAGATGCATAAGTAATTAAGGGTGCAGTCTAATGGGATGCAGTGTAGGAATATCATGGAGGCAAGCTTTGCCTCTGTGCTCCTCTTACTTTGCAGTTTAGGCCATTTAGCTGAGGCACTTCAGACAGGAAAGGGAAGAGCCTGGAGCACTGCCAGAATACATTGTATCTCCATCTTCACCCATTATCTGAGGTTTTACAACCTCAGAGATACAGCTAACTGGTTGCCAGTTGCTGACTGTGAGAAGGGGAGGGGGATCCAAAGATGGCTATTTTCTGACAAAACAACAAAGATAAAAAAGTCATTCTCCCATTATGCCATAAGTATTCATCTGAAATGTTTGAGGAGAAGTTTGTATGACATAGGAGCCCACCCTGCAAATAAACTAGACAGTGAAGGTTGTACATGGACAGACAATTGGGCTCACTGTGGGTTGCCGCTGATGCTCCCTGCTCAGTCTTGCTATGGTACTTGCTCACTTCTCTGATTGTCATCCCTTTTGGTTACCATCTTTTTCTGTTTGTTTGTTTTCTGGATCCTTTTTTGGAATGCCTCCCACTGACAGCCCTTCCATAGTGCACAAGTGGTACATTGAAAGGGTTGCTAGTTTGCTACCTTTTTATTATTATTACTTTTTAGGCACCAGAAATGTGCACAACTATTTTAAATTCTCACCTGGTTGATGTATTAGTAATTTTCTCCTATCAAAGTGCAGAAGGTAACATCCTTGGACATTAAAAAAGCAAGGTTAATTTGTTGCTTTGCTATTCACTTGATAGCTGTCAAAACAAGCAAGGTTGTAAGGGAACCTTTGTTCACAGAAGGGGCAGTGATACTCTAATTTTGAAGTATTGCTTTGACATTTCTCAGTGCCTTCACCTTTTCAATAGTTTCCTGTACCTCTAGGTACTTTAGAAAAGTAAGCTTTACACACATAAAACCTATTTGCAAAGACAGACTTTTGCCAGCTATCCTATGAAAAGAGGTTTTGTTTAAGCATTGTGTTGGTCCGCCCCCGGAGCCGGATGGGTCTGAATGGATTCCTGAAGGCCCTGGGGGATTTCCCGGTTGATAAGGCTGGTGCTCCTGTCCATGCCTTGGTTGAACTGTGGAATAGGGAAATGACCAGGGCGATTGACACGATCGCTCCTAAGTGTCCTCTCCCACCTGGCAGAGCCCGTTCATACCCCTGGAATACACCTGAATTACGGGTGATGAAGCAGGTTGGGAGACGTCTAGAGCGTAGGTAGAGGAAATCACGGGATGAATCTGACTGAACACACTTAAGAGCCCATTATCGGGCCTATGCTGTGGTGGTGAGGGCGGCGAAGAAGAAATTCTTTTCCGCTTTCATTGCCTCCTCACAGTGCCGTCCCGCGGAGCTGTTTCGGGTGGTACAGGGACTGGTTCATCCGGGCCCCAAGAAAGACCTTGTGCCACCCTCGATGGCCCGCTGTGATGATTTTGCTACGCATTTCAAGGAGAAAATCACTCAGATTCATCACGAGCTGGACTCTACTAGTGACTCAGAACCTTCTGGGGAGGTGCCAATGTTGCCATCTGGTCCAAAATTGATGGATGAGTTTCAGTTGTTGCGGCCTGATGATGTGGACAAGGTGCCTGAACAAGTACGTCCTACCACCTGCTTACTGGACCCTTGCCCATCTTGGCTACTTAAGAAAGCCAAGGATGGGATAGGGACCTGGATCCTGAAGGTTGTCAATGCCTCTCTAAAGGACGGCCAGGTACCTGCCCCTTTAAAGGAGACGGTAGTCTGGCCAGTCCTAAAGAAGGCATCCCTGGATCCAGAGATGGCCACCAGTTATAGACCGGTGGCCAACATCCCGTTCCTGGGCAAGGTGTTAGAGCGGGTGGTGGTGGGACAACTCCAAGCACTCTTGGATGAAACTGATTATCTGGACCCATTTCAGTCCGGCTTCAGACCCGGGTATGGTACTGAATCTTCCTTGGTCGCCCTGTACAATGACCTGTGCAGGGAGAGAGACAGGGAGAGTGCGTCCCTGTTGGTTCTCCTGGACCTCTCAGTGGCTTTCGATACCATCGACCATGGTATCCTTCTGGATAGGCTAGCGGGGTTGGGAGTTGGAGACACTGCTTTGCAGTGGTTCCACTCCTATCTCAATAGCCGATTCCGGAAGGTGGTGCTGGGGAACTATGGCTCTGCGCCATGGCAGTTATGCCATGGAGTTCCACAGGGGTCCATTTTGTCCCCCTTGCTATTTAACATCTTCATGAAACTGCTGGGAGAGGTCATCAGGAGCTGTGGGCTGCAGAATCATCAGTATGCTGATGATACCCAGCTCTACCTCTCGTTTTCAACTAATCCAGGTGAGGCAGTGGCTGTACTGAACCGGTGCCTGGCTGAGGTAATGGGCTGGATGAGGGCCAATAAACTGAAGCTCAATCCAGACAAGACGGAGGTCCAGTTAGTAGGTGGGTCGGGCTTCGGGATGGGGGACCTGGACCTTGTCCTGAATGGGGTTGCACTCCCTCTTAGGGACAGGGTTCGCAGCTTGGGAGTGCTCCTCGACCCAGAGCTGTCATTAGAAGCTCAAGTAATAGCGGTGGCGAGGAGCGCTTTCCTCCAGCTCCAGCTGATCCATCAGCTGCGTCCCTACCTGGAGAACGATTGCCTGGCGACAGTGACACAGGCATTGGTAACTTCCCGATTAGACTTCTGTAATGTGCTCTTCATGGGGCTGCCTTTGAAGACGGTCTGGATACTTCAGTTGGTGCAAAACAGAGCTGCCAGGTTGCTGACAGGGACTGGGTGTTGTTCTCACATAACCCCAGGCCTCCGTCAGCTTCACTGGCTTCCCATTGAAGTCTGGGCCCAATTCAAGGTGTTGGTTTTCACCTATAAATCCCTTAACGGCTTGGGACCTGGTTATCTAAAGGACCACTTGTGTCCATATATGCCCTCCCACCCCCTGAGATCGGTGGCAGAGGCCCTTCTCCGGGAGCCCTCCGTGAAAGATATTAGGAGGGTGAGTACCCAGAGGAGGGCCTTCTCTGTGGTGGCACCGCACCTACGGAATGCGCTCCCCAGAGAGGTCTGCCTGGCGCCGTCGTTATTTGTTTTTCGGCGCCAGGCCAAGACCTTTTTATTTAAACGATATTTTAACTGTTAAATGTTGTTTTTATTTATTGGGTTTTTATAGCTCTGCCGAGATGTATCCGGATTTTTAAACTTTATTCAATATTCGTTTATTTGCTTTGTAACCGCCCCGAGGCTTGTTGCAAAGTGGGCGGCATAAAAATGCTATAAATAAATAAGCAAGCAAGCAAGCAAGCAGTGATTTTGATTGGGCTAAAAAGGGTTCTTTAGTATGCTGCCATGAAAGTTGTCAAAACAATCCTCTTGGGCACTTTAGAGGGGCAAATGCAAAAGAGCAGTGCAGAGGAACATTGAGTCAGTGGCAGTCACTTCACTGTTCTTTAGGCATTGGTGTGACTGCTATCACTGATGAGCTTGGCAAGAACGGCAATACTTTCTGTTGCTTTTGTCATTTCCTTGTACTCATGATGCAGTCAGTTGCATGGGTATGGATGGCATGGCAACCTGTCATAGATACAACATTGTTTAGAAGAAGCTATTGATTGACAGGAGCAAGAACATGGAGCAAGCCAAAGAATTGATGGTACAAAATACTGGGTTGTTGGAGTTGTCTATGTCTGGGAAATAATGGATGTGCAGTAACAGTTAGGAAGACACTTACGCTTCCAAAATTCAAACTGCATTTGCTAGAAACTGTTAGAAAATATTCTTCAATGAGTGTCCTTTCCCTTTTGACATAAGGTTATAATTTGACATTTAGCAGCAGTATACTTTTTAATATAGTAATATAAAAGGAGAACTGTTTACTTGTGTAATAGATTTTGGGAAAGCAGCTTTTCGTATTTATATGTTACAGCTTGTTTTAGTTTTAAGGTTGGCATAACAGTATGCATGCATACACAGATGCTTCATAGTAAACTACTAACAGACCTCTTTTTATCTTTGTTACTTTTTAATGAAACAAAGCTATTTTACTCTGTTCAAAATGGAGTGCAACATTTCTCTCTCTCTCTCTCTCTCTCTCTCTCTCTCTCTCTCTCT